ATTATTTAAAAATATACATTGTTTTGTTGTTCAAGAAATCAGAATTGAATTTTAATTGTTAATAATTTTTTAATAAACAATAAATAAAATCTGAAAGAAAGTCATGACTTTGATAACATGTCAAGATCATTGCTTTCCTTTTGTACGATTTTTACCGATTTACTTTTATTATTATTTTTTTTTTGACATTTTCAAGTTATTGATATCTATCTATTATCATTTATATATAATTATGTTTAAATAGGCAGGAGGTGCTGCAGGCACATTTGTAGACATCGCGTTGTTTCCATTGGATACATTGAAGACACGACTACAAAGTGCACAGGGATTTTTAAAGACTGGAGGCTTCACAGGTCTTTATAAAGGCATTGGTCCAGTCATAATTGGTTCAGCACCAACAGGTATAATACTAAAAATATGCGATACACTCAGGAATCAATAAAATTTATGAATTATATATATTCGTACATTAACATTTTACATTTCAGCCGCGCTATTTTTTCTAACATATGAAGAAATTAAGATTATATTGAAACCTAGAATTTCTACAGATTATTATGCTCCACTTCACATGGGAGCAGCTGCTATATCAGAAATGGTGAGACTTTAATAATTATTATCTCTGTTTGTAACAAATGAATCAAATTAACGATATTTAATTTACATAATTGAGCTTAAAAAATTTTGATTCTGAAATAAAAAAAATTTTAAATATATCAATTTGATGTATAGAGCAATGTTTTCCAATTATTATTTTTCTTTTAATTCTTTTATAGCTGTAATTATGTAATAATTAGAAAAACATTGCTTTCTACATAAATTTAACATGGCTAAGATTTTTCAATTTCGGAGTCAAAGTGTTCTTTAAGCTCAACTATTTACAGGTTGTATGCTATTAAATTAACTAATTTATTTATAAAGAACAAATTTTAGCTTGTACAGCTTGTATATAATTGTTATTCTATATACAAAGGTAGCATGTTTATTACGAGTTCCAGTAGAAGTTATGAAACAGAGAAGACAGGCACAAGTACATGATAAAAAATCATTTGATTTCAAATTATTATATCGTGGATATTGGAGTACGGTATCACGAGATATGCCATTTAGTATTGTACAGTTTCCGTTATGGGAATATTTTAAAAAATCCTACAGATTCTATATTGAAAGAGAAATATATCCTGTAGAAAGTGCAATTTGTGGTGCAATTGCAGGTTTTTATACTAATTTTATACGCTCCAAATAGAAATAAGAAAATAAATTATAGTTTTGCATAAATACTATTTTTATCTATTTTTTCGCCTACATGTGTACGCTTTGTAATTTTAGGTGGCGTCTCTGCAGCTGTTACCACTCCATTAGATGTTGCAAAAACGAGAATAATGCTCTCAAATAGAATGCTACTTTCGTCAGAATTAAAGATACTAAATATACTTCATGGAGTATATATAGAGAATGGTTTTCATGGGTAAATATCTTTTACATTTCTTCTTTTTCCCTTCTTATGTATGTAGTCTACAATTTTTTTAAATTTCACTAAATAATCACAGATTATTTGCTGGTTTTGGACCAAGAGTAATGTGGATCACATTAGGAGGCTTTATTTTCTTTGGAGTTTACGAAGAAGCAAAAGTACTTACACATATAATATTTCCAATGCTGAAATAAAAATATAAGTGTCCTTATTAGAAAAGTAATTCATTAAGTTATCAAATTTTTATATTTTTTGCAACATGTATAAAAATTATTTTATTGTACAAATCTTCCTGATAACAATGTATAAATTATATATTTATATGAATATCATTTTCATGGATACAAAATATTTTTTATTCTATATGTAGAATTATTATTAGTTATAAAAAATTATTCTTATTTATGTATTATACAAAATTTCTCTTAGACGTTTTATTTTCTAGAAATAGACTTGAACAATTCAACTAAAGTTATAATACTAATATACTACTAAAATACTACTGTGAATTTTGATTCATTAGTTATTATTAGTTATTATCATTTATATATATTTTTTTTATTTTCCAACGAAGAAAAAAAATGCACATTCTTATGTGCATATAAAATATTTATGTTCATATTTATGTTTTTTTAAAAGAGTGTGATGTGTTATATATTACAATATATTAAAAATATACTGCAGGATATGTGGTATTTTAATCTTTGTATTTATAGTTTGGATTTTAAACTAGTCATTAATTTTTCCAATTTCATTGCTTTCTGCATATTTCCACTAATGTTTAATTTGCCTGTCATGAATGCAGAAACTGGTTTTAGTTTGCCTGTCGACAAAAAGCAAGTTTAAGTAATGTAATAATAACATTAACAGGTATATGTACATATTATGTTCTTAACGCCGAGACATTACCATGTCTCTTACACATATACAATACAATAATAACAGATGCAAGAATAAATTCAAGAGAAATTTATTAGATCTGCACGTACCTGAAAACATAGCAAAAAAATTTTCTGAATCCATCGTAAGAGTTGCATCTGCTGGCTGACTCGGTTCTCCTTTGCCAGTAGCGCCCTTCCCATTTTTCAAATCAAGGAACCATACACCAGATTCCTTTCCTAAACATGAATGTATATATAAATATAAAGATATCTGTTCTCTTACAATCTCTTTTTTTCTTCTATAAATAAAAAGAAATTACCTTTTACATTGAATTGATATATAGCACCAGTTTTGTCAACCAGTTCACTACTTAAATTTGCATTGATAACATTAAATAAATGTGCCAATCGTCCAATTTCTTCATTATTCGTTTTATCAGCACTATCAACATGTGCACCATCCAGAAAGAAGTCCAGCATTAAATTGTCCTTATTTGCTAAATAAAAGATTACAAATGCTTATTGCTAAAAAAACTATTTAACAACTGATAATATCTAACATATTTTTAAAGATCTTATATTTAGAAAACAAATTTAATATAAAATTTTTAATTGATTGATCATCACACAATTCACTTATTTATAATTGCTATAAATTTTACAAGACAAATGTTAATATAAGTATTTTTATTTTGTTCATAAAATATAAATAAAATCCAATATTACCTGGATTACACGCGTAGTCTGTAAAATCAGTAATGCCCTCGTTTTTCAATATTTCTTCATCAATTAGAAAATGACCAGTAATGGATTTGCTATCTTTACAAAGCAATGTATAAACAGCATCAGCCATAATTTCAGGCTTTCGAGAAACGTTACTCGAGTCTGAGGTTAATAGCATGTCCATTGCAGCAGTATATATAGCTAAAAAAATGTAATTTATTTAAAATAAATTTTACATAATTATTTAGTATTATCCAATACAAAGACAATACTAAATGCAATCTATAAGTTACTCAAGTAAACAAAATTTTTATTTTCTCTATTTAAAATAATACTAGCAATATATACATTTATATTTTTCTATCATAAATTTCCTTATTAATTATATCTTATAAACTAAAATGTGACAATATACCTGTTTTAGGCCAAACAGCGTTAACTGCAATGCCATCAGGTTTAAATTCTTCTGCCATTCCAAGAACGCACATAGACATTCCATATTTAGCCATTGTGTATGCAACATGATTTTGAAACCAAATGGGTTTCATGTTTAACGGCGGACTTATATTAACTATATGTGGATTTGTACTTTTCTTTAGATATGGTATACAAACTTTCGATCTACAATACAATTTTATTTCTTGGTGGTAATTTGCAGTGTGAACTTGAGAATGCGTGATAATATTAATCAGTTTTTCTAATCAATTGTTATAGATTATTTATGATTAATTTAATATTAAATTAAATACTAAAAATTAAAAACCTGCAAGCAGTATGAAAAAAACAACCTACACGAGAAAAGTTCCTCTGGCATTAATATTATTCATTAGATCGTATCTTTTCATTTCGGTTGCAAGAGTACCCGTTAAAGAAATAGCGCTAGCATTATTCACAACAACGTCTATTCCACCGAACTTGGAAACAGCATTCTCCACCGCGTCAATCACCTGCTTCTCATCGCGTACATCCACAATACAAGGTAGAGCTTTACCTCCGGCTGCTTCAACTGAAAAATATTTTTTCTACATAAATCTTTAAATTTCAAAGGTTTTTAAATGTTGGATCTAATTGACTTAGTTGGAATTAATTTCATTAAATTTCGTTTAATCCTACTGAATTAAAAAAAAGATTCATTAAATTAAAAAAAATTATAGGCTAATATATTGCCAGTAATAAAATATTATTTCTATATGTGTTAGACATCATATTTCTTTTTGACTTAGATATCAGCATCAAAACTAACAATTTTATTAGTTGAGTTACTATTTAAATATAAAAATTATTTTAGAGAGTCAATTTTTAAATTTATAAGCAATTAGTTATTAAATATAAATAGATTTAT